AGTAATGTCATTGTTTTTCAGGTTGCGCAATGATTTACATAGTTCTTTAAGACACTTTGGGTATCATTCCGAATAGACTTTGTCTGTATATAAATAGTGTCAGACTTACCTGGGCAAGAAGAGAAGCTGGTTGAATGATGTTGGCCTTAAGAGTTGTGGTCCTCTTTCTGGTCACCATGCCCAGTAATGCTGAGGAAACATGTTCTGGTGAGATATTCTTCATATATTCTTCAAAGAAATTTTAACAATGGGAGCAAGTTTTGGGGTAAATATTTGCTTATGGAATTCTCTAAATAATTTTCACTCAACTTTCATTAAAGAGTCAGTACATTTAAAAGTGATATTTTAGTTATGGCTGGAGCTTAACGGTTGAATCAGGCTCTGGCTTCTTATCTGTCAGTGTCAACAGTGTTTGGTTCAGAACTGCTCTTCTTCCTATACAAATATATGGAGATGCAAAAACCAGCTTAAAGCAGGCCAAGTGCAGGTGCTCTGCAGGACAAATGCACCTGCAATGAATTTTGAATGATTTCATAAGCATCTCAAACTAAGGTCAAAACCGAACACTGCATCTACCCATTGAAGCCTGTCAACACTCATTCTGTATGTCTTGCATGTTTCAGCAGTGAGATCTCCCTGTCACAATTCCTGCTTACTTGGGAGTTTTTGGCTGTTCTTGTCCACCTTTGTGTTTTCCATTTCCTCCCATTATATTGTCCATGATATAAAAGCTTATATACTGTGTATTAAAAGTAATCTAACTGAAAGCTAACTTGAACTAGAAACACAACCACATGCAGAGTGTTCCGCTTTCTATATATATATGTTTATCCTGCAGAACCCTTATGCCTAATACACACAATAAGAAAATCGCATGACAAAAATCGCTTCCGGAGGGATCATACCATAATCTGATCATTAGTACATAGCTTTTGTGAGACAATTACAACAGTTCATGCGACAATATCCGAAGGGACAAGCATGAAAATTTTTCTCATATGATAACAGAATGAACGATTTACATTTAATCAGTACATTATTCATCTGAAAAAATCAAGAGACCAAGATCACGCATGCTCGGAAATGAAAGAATACATCACAATACAAGATAATACATTAAATCACTTCTGAAGTTGTATTCTGACGTACGAGAATTTTTTGTAACTTTATTAAACTCATTTTCGATATGAGACTAGAATGCAAAATAAAACAGACAACCATTTGTCCGATATGCTCATTGTGTTTATGGGGCATTAGACATTTTCTGCTTTTTATTTATCTGTTTATCCTACAAAGCCCATTAGATATTACCACTTGGTTTCCTAACAGCTGCAGCTGTAAATGGAACTGGAAATTTTATTGGAAAGATCTCATTCCTGGAGTAGTTGATATAGTATAAGCAATCAGTATGTCATTCAACATGTTGGCAAGCAATAGAAAATGTAATATCAGTTATGTCATTTTTTTTGTTACTGTATTACACACACATACAAATCTATAGATTATATATCTAAGCAATCACATAAACAGAGTGCATTGTTTTTTATCAGGGAGAGCTATCTGGGGGGCCTTATAATATTTTTTTTTTTCACTTTTGTGCAAGCTGGAGCAGAGCAAATGACCTTCCTAAGAGGATGTCCTGGAATCCCCGGAGCCCAAGGAGATAAAGGAGAACCTGGAACACCTGGAGAGAGAGGTTGGCATGACTTTCATATAACATGTTGAATTTTTGTGGCGGTCTATAATACAACTAAGGAATTTAATTGCCCAGCTGAAAACTGTTACATCAGGATGGTTGGTAAAGAACAACTTCATTCCAACCAAAATGTCTTCATTTTGAGTGGACTGTGGTCCCAATAGCAAGCTGGCCATTTGATCATTTGGTACTGAGGAGTGTGATACAATATTTATGGGTCCTACACTTCCTTGGTGCAGTTCCTATTGTGTGGTAAAGGAAAGCTGTCTTGAGAGAAATATGGGGGCTGGCAATGCTGAACTCCTCCTGAAAATGCTATTGGCTTGGCTGTCAGCTGATCCTCTGGCTTCAGTACGTTCTGCATAACTGGCTTGGGACAACATATCCATGTTCTCCATTTGTGAACTTTATGCCTATGTTCATGAGCTTTAAGAAAAATAAATATATTTTTATATATGTATTTTTTTTTTTTATCATTCATTAGGTTCATCAGGCAGCCCAGGATTGACCGGTCTTCCAGGAAAGAAAGGTTGGTTCTTTGTTTATCTAAATCAGGGGACTCCAAACTTTTCAAACAAAGGGCCAGTTTACTGTCCTTCAGACTTTAGGGGGGCCAGACTGCAGCCAGTGGGGGTAGAAAATATAGACACAAATCTAACACTTCCTGCACTCAGGGACCCAGATCAGAGAAAGGCCGATTGGACAGTATATGATTAGAAATTCAACACTGATCAAAGGTTGTGTGGCTCTAGCATGAAGCTGGGGAAGCTCGATACGGACTGTGGTAGAGAACAAAAACAGAGCGCACCAACCTTTTGCATTACCTCAGTAGGCAATAAATAAATGTATTAATAAAGAGATATACTCACAAGAGGAGCAATATAAAAAGGTATATAACAGGGGCGGACTGACAACTCATGGGGCCCCCGGGCAATAGGGGATCATGGGGCCCCCGTGTCCTTGCCCAAACTCAAAAAAGCCCGAGTTTCCAAATTATCAGTCCGCCCCTGGTATATAACATTCAAGTATGAAACACTGGGTTAGGAGACACGTGCAAATCCCATCAAGAGGGGAGAAAGACTATCAGGGTCAAGCTGATGCATTTCGAAGGGGGGTCCCTTCTTCCTTAGAGCTCTGAGGAAGAAGGGACCCCCCTTGGAAACGCATCAGCTTGAGCCTGAGAGTCTCTCTCCCCTCTTGATGGGATTTGCACATGTCTCCTAACCCAGTGTTTCATACTTGAATGTTATACTCGCAAGAGTAGCAATATAAAAGGCATATAACATCCAAGTACGAAACACTGGGTTAGGAGACACGTGCAAATCCCATCAAGAGGGGAGAAAGTCTCTTAGGGTCAAGCTGGCGTGTTTCTAAGGGGGGTCCCTTCTTCCTTAGAGCTCTGAGGAAGAAGGGACCCCCCTTCGAAATGCGTCAACTTGACCCTGAGAGTCTCCCCTCTTGATGGGATTTGCATGTGTCTCCTAACCCAGTGTTTCATACTTGAATGTTATATGCCTTTTATATTGCTACTCTTGTGAGTATATCTCTTTATCAGTAAATTTATTTCCTGCCTACTGAGGTAATGCACAATGTTGGTGCACTCTGTTTTTGTTCTCTACCACAGGGGTAGAAAATGTCCCATGCCTAGCATCAGTAAAAATAAACATTGCCTCAGGGTTGGTGGTCAGTTACATAGCGCCTATGGAATAGTGCCCCATCATGGGTGTCAGTGGAAGAAATTATGCCCTACTGTTGGTGTCAGTGGGAAAAATAGTATCATATCTGCTGAGGAATACTGCCCCAAGGGCTGGTTAAAGGCCTGCAAAGGGCCACAACTAGCCCACGAGCCGCAGTTTGGAGACCACTGATCTAAATCTTAAAAAACCAAGTTGTTTTTTTATAAATTCTGGCACTGGGAACTGTATAATCTTTACTGATCATTTGTACATAATGTAATAATAAGAGTCATGTGACAAGTGTGGGTGGAGCCACTTTCCTCACCATTTTCACTGGAGAATCTGGCGCTTTACTATACAATCTATGTTAATTATATTATACTACTATATGCAGTTTACATCTTAGACTACCGGTATATAACTCTCCATTTTGTGTCATTTAATGTAGGAGATCCAGGAACTCCAGGCATGCCAGGAACCAAAGGTAAACTATAACATGTAATATGCAATGTTTTCTTATGGTCAGATGGTTTAAAGAGACCTACAAAAAAACAGTATTACTCCCCTGTTTTATTCACATCAACTACCAATATGCCATTTGGAATTTTCAGAACATGCAAACAGAGTAAGCAGGTTTTTTTAGGTAGTTTAGGACCTTTTTTTTTTTTCAGGTAATACCGGGATTTTTTTTTGGTTTGCCTGTGCAGAGGGGGTGTGCCTACACTGCGCGGGTTAAAGGCTTGTTTCGTTATAGGGGAGAGGACACCAAAGATATACTCACCTGATCCACCGATCCTCCCCACACAAGACTGGTCCTTTCAGCTCCTGCCACTCCCTACAGTCCAGCGGCCTTTTAAATGGACTGTTCCTGACAACAGCCAGCATACTCAATGCATGTTCCATACACAGAAACAATCTACCTCTTGTTTTCCGTAGGATCAGCGGGTCAGGTGAGTATGAGCTTAGACCTCACTCCTAGAAAAAACAAGCAGCTGATCCATGCAGTGAGAGCACAGCCCCACTATATGGTAAGAAAAAAATTATCTGGAGTTCTGCTTTAAGACATCCTTTTATTATTATATACTGTATACTGTACAAAACCATCATCATTAAAAGCATATTATGGCTGATTATTTAAAAGTTGAGTACCTTAAAACATTTGTTCACATAACATAGTAATAAAATAATCCAAAAGTGATCCATATACTGTAGATAAGTTGCCTTATCTACTGAAGCCTGCCAAGGCATTAGGCCTTTCCCAACACGTTTTATATAACAAATTCTACTTCTTCAGCAGAATAAACCAATGTTGGTATATCTAAGCTTATATAAATGATATGTTATAAGCAAGTGCTACACTTATTATCAGTGATTGTATCCTAATATAACACACAGTATTTAATGTAATGTATTTACAAACGTCTGTCAACTGCCAATTGCAAGCCAGCTATATAGCATTAAAAACAGAAACATCCAAGGTACTGCAGTGCCATAATCTGACCCAAAGACTGTATGGAGAAAAACTGGAGGGGGCGCCCCCAAAGTGATCACATCCTATCCCTGGCCCTTTGGACGGCACCTAATCACTTTGGGACAGCTTCCTCCACCATGTAATTGTTTCCAAACACATGTTTATAAGATATCTTTCTTATTGTACAGGGGAGAAGGGAGATAAGGGAGACCCAGGCTCTCCGGAAATTACATATGGTAAAAGAGATTTCTTCATATATGCTTTTTTATATATGTATGCATGCACTGGAAAAACAGTGTAATTTAAATGACAAGGCCTCCAGGTATCATCATGGTAGGAACTGTAGGGTCACCATGCCACATACTGCATATTTACATTGATGCAAATATTCAGACTTTGCAAATGCCAACAAATAAAAATGTAAAGCAAAAATATAGGAGAATATAAAAAGAAATAATGCAGTTAAGTATTTATTAAAATATCCTAAGATGTATTTTAAATAGTACCTCAGTCTGTCTTTATATTATTATTTTTTGTAGATCTCTTCCCCTGCAGGATTTAGACTGAAAAAGGAAGGGACAGCAGCACAAATCCATCAGGCTTTTTTCCTTTAAACCAGGGGTCTCTATTTTTTTAGTACAGGGACCATGTTGTATATTTACAAATATTCACAGGCTGAAAAAAAAATAAGTAATATAAATCAATGAATAATAAATGAATGAATACATCCCCATTAGAGTCCTAGTTTACATCAGTGTCCTCATGAGAGTCTGTCTTACATTAGGGTCTCCATCAAAGAGGCTTTGATTGGGCTTTCATCAGAGTCCTCATCAGCAGGGACCACCTGATCAGGATCCTCATCCTGTGCACAAATAAAATTGTAGTGGGCTGGATTTGGCCCACATGCATGCAGGGTCAAACAAACATGGACGTTTCCTTCCTGGGTACCACTTACAGGCCTCTTGTCCTTATTTTTGGTTTACGTGCTCCCAGAGGGGGCAAATAAGTGTACATTTACCAGCTTATGTACATTACCATGCCTGACACTTCATCCCGCATTCTTCCCAGCAGAACCAGGTGTATGTTCTTAGGATAAGCCATTAGTATTAAAAAGAGGTGAGTCCAATCAGTTTTCCCCAGCTTCACTTCCAAAGCAGACAGCTTCAGGCATATAACTTTAGGGCATAGAGTTTCTTACCAATACGGTAACAATCATTAGCACTTTCCCAGGTTGGGCCATAAATGTCCTGGCCATTGATTCCATCATATCCAAGGTACCAGGGGAATACCAATCACAGGAATACCAAATCCCATGGGGACCAGCTACGGAGTCTAGCTCCTCTCAGGTTTTCCACCCAAACTCTACCCACCCTAAAACTCCCACATTATATATCTTTTAGGAAAAAGCCCCCACCTAGTGGCCAAACAGGGAATTGTATTAACACTCCTATACAAGTGGGCCAAGGTTTGGAGACCCCTGCTTCAAACAGTGCACAGTGTGCTAATCAGTAGGAAGGAAAACCCCAGAGAGGCCCTCACTGGTGTGTTTATGCTCCTATCCTATCCAACCACAGGTTGGGACAGTCCTTACCCAACCTGCTTTGTTTTAACCATATTATGATTATTATTATTAGTAGTAGTAGTAGTATTATTTAGTACTTATATAGCACTACCAGTTTGCACAGCAGTTTGCAAATTAAAGGAAGACAGTACAGGTATAATGCAATTCAATGCAAGGGGTTAAGAAGGCCATGCTTGTTGGCAAGCTAAAGATTAGAAGAAAAGTGAGGTCAGATATATTTAAGCTCTGACTTTAGTTGTGTGGCTTTCTTTACACTTTATGGTAGAGGCACCTCGTGCCAAAACAGGCCTGTAATTATCATTAGGCACAGGTAGACACTGTGCCTGAAACAAATTAAGAATTTGGGAGACCAAAAAAGAGAAAAAAATATTTAGAAACAAAAATAAAAGGAAATGGATACATAAAAATAGCCTTGAATACTTCTAAAATGCTTTGGGGATATTAGGTAACTTTGAAGAAATAATATCTTTCTTAAAATAGGGATTGAAGTATTTTTAATGTGACTCTGCCTAAAAGCAAAAGATATCTGTTGTTACCTTTAAAAAAACAAAAGCCTTTTCTGTACCCCTCTCTGATTTGGTTTCAATGTGTTATTGGGGTCTGAGTTGTACGGAAGGGACAGGTCCTCTTCTTGACTCTGATCAATTCTGTCATTATTATTTCAGCGGCAAGGAATTGTAAGGAGCTCCTGGAGAAAGGCTTCACTATCAGCGACTGGTATACAATTTTGCCAAATGGAAAGAATCCATTAAAAGTGCTTTGTGACATGCACACTGATGGGGGAGGCTGGATTGTAAGTATCTCTACCTGTCTTTCTTGAATCCTGATTAATTAAAAATCAGCAAGTATGTAACTGGTTACCATCCTATGATAAAGCAAAGAGTAATGATCATAATGCACTAACTCTTTACAACCAATTAGATCCAGAAGTCATGTATAGAAGAAAAACAGATTAGCAACAACACTTAGCATTTTAAATAAGTGTTTGTACACACACTGTCACCAGTTTAGTTTGCATTAGAGCCTTAGAGTCAATTGGGTTTAATAATGAAAAGGTCAAAATGGTGCAAATAAAAGTTTTACATAAAAAACAAAGAGATATTACAAAGTAACAAAGAGACGACAATGCAACAGAGAAATAAAAAGGAATTGAGGGTGAGAATACTTAACAATGTCCTGGTTTGAGCAGAGTCCATTAGATGAGCAAAGATGGTACAGTGGCTCTTTCAAGTCCAGTTAGGTGTTCCTTGGTTTGATGTTACACGAGAGGTGTCAGCTTCAGGAGAAATCTCCTTTTTCTCTGATATCAAGGGGGGTGTTGTCAGAGACCAGCTGACCAATTAAGCAGTTGAGGAGTGGCCATGGGGGTGTCACTGTGTTTATTACTGTATCATGGACCTGCCTTACACATCGTTTTATATAATTATTAATATCTTCCAATATGTACAGGTTGCATTCTGGAAACTGGTAGATTATTGTTCAGCATTGAATTTTGTATCCAAGGATACTAAACACAGGGTATCTCGGATAGTCTGTCACCCAGGAGGTATCTGACTGCTATATCACCTTCTGTATACTATAGCTTAGTCATGTAAAATCTCAATTTGTTCAGTATGATATTCCCAATTCAAATATATGCTTAATATTGATGAGTCTTGGTCCTGCATGATTTTATTAACTGTTCTGCTTTACGATCCCAATTAGCCCTGGTTAAGACATTTTACTGCACTGTATCCCTAATGGGTTTTATTGCCCTACAAACCATGCGTGACAGAACTGCAGGATTTTGTGACTGACTTATGTTGGGTCAAAGGGGAGTGATGATCAGTAGATTTTTATGGTTAACAGAAATTAACAGACATCCTTCCAGAACTTCAATTATATATTTACAGCTCTGGCAAAGTCCTGTGTACTGGTATTTACTGTCCCTAGGTTGAGATAACAGGCTCTTTGAAATGTGAGGCTAGGGAGGTACATTCCTTGGTATTTGCAGCTACAATGTGTAACTGTTCTACAAAACCGTCATGGCTGACCTGTGATTCTTGAACAGTCATGGCCGCCAGTCACAGCTTTTTGTGTGCCAAGTACATGATATCATTACAATGTATAATGTTTCTGATTATTGTAAAATAATCAGATGTAAAAAGTAAAAGATGACTGGTAAAACGTAACCCTGCCCTTCCTCTGGTACACTCACATTTTCAGTTGAAGCAGAGGATCAGTGTCCCTTCTCTAAGCCTAATTAATTGAGATCAATGATCTGGTATTGGGTCACGAATTGTGAATTGTGGTGGAAAAAGGTGGAGCTCAGATTTCTTTGGGAAGTGTATGTTTTTCACGTCAGGTACCATCTATTATTATGTGGCAGCAGGATAACTGAAACAGGTTAGCGATAGCAGTTTCTATTTATCCCATTGTAGTGATATGGAGCAGGAATAATTTTCACATAAATGTACTCCCCAAAAATGTGTTGTATATGTCATCTTAAATGTTGGAGTGGTGCAAAGAAAATTTAGCAGCGTTGGTAATGCTGGTGTCAACAATAGACAATCATATAGTTTGTTATTTAGGTTTTTCAGAGGCGCTGTGATGGATCTGTGGATTTCCTGCAAAACTGGGAGTCTTACAAGAAGGGGTTTGGTAGCCGCTTGACAGAGTTTTGGTTGGGGAATGAAAATATTCACATGATAACGTCATCAGGTAATGATTGATAAGTGTTTTTTTGCAGGAAGTTTTTTTTTTTTAACTTGTTTAATATTGTTTTATTTTTAATCAGGAATTAAAATGGAGAATCACACATCAGTATTTTTTTTCTTGATAAAATTTAGTCCTGCATATCCTATCCTTGGTGATTTAATTTCCTTTAAAGTTGCTGAATTCTGCAGTTTTAAAAACTTTTATTTCTGGTTGTCAATAGAATTCTTTAAAATATACATATATTAAAGGTACCAACATAGTTGACAATAAAAAAAATATATATAACAATCATTTCTCTGTCATATCAGGGACTTGGGAATTGCGAGTGGATCTTCAAGGCTTTGACACCGTCAAGCATTTTGCTAAATACAGCTTTTTTAAAATTCTGGGAGAATCTGAGAAGTTTAAGCTAGAAATCAGAAAATTCACAAGCGGTAATGCAGGTAAGGAATGTAATATTGGAAGTGGGAGGGGATTTCCTATTGGTCTGCATAAGGTCCAATCTGCATTTAAACACTAGGCCAAGGTACTAAGTTGAATAAGTGAAACCCAATCCCCATTTTCTTATTTGTATGATTTATTTTTAAGCTTTCTGTTTATCAATGTTTATCAATTTAAGAACACAAACCTTCTGACACATGGCTGAGAATGCCTGTAAATTCCATGGCTGGCTTTTGTAGAGCTTGTGACTTCAGACTTATCATAAACATCAATAATTTAGCCCGCCATTGCTCAGCAGAAAATCAGCAAATCAGCAGCAGATGACTAGATTGCATCATCTGTAGCTTAAAGCAGTTCTCCAGCTTCCTGTAACTAATTAAAAGTCAGCAGCTACAAAAATTGTAGCTGCTGACTTTTAAAAAACAGCTATTCACATGTCCCACGATCCAGCAATGTCCTCACTGCAGCTGTTCTTTCCATCAGTATCCTGTCTCAGGCGCCAGCATCTCAACTGTGGGCACCCAGCTGTGACAGCTTGTGGCTTCACAGCTGGGTGCCCACTGCGCATGCGTGAGTAGCCCTGCACATTCTGAATGGTCTGGCAGTTTCTGGGACCTGTCCCCAAAAGCTCCCATTTCTTCACCAGGAGCGGGGGGAGCAGACCTTAAAGTGGAACTTCCCCTTTTGGGTGGAGCTCTGCTTTAAGTATTTTGATAGAGAGGTGTAGGGTTAGAAGCATTGTTATTTTTATTGCGGTCTATGCTTCTTTATTACTCAGTCTAATTGTCCTAAATACCAATGTTATCAGGAACAAAAGTGTGGGTAAATTCAACATTCTGAGTTGCCACCAGCACAGGAATAGAGGCGAAATCTTAGAATGGGAACCTTGGTTCCTGTGACAACTTTCTAACAGGGGATTTCCCTCACATTGGAAGGACATCTCCTCACTTCCTGTTGAGTCTACAGGATAGGAAGTGAAGGAAAATCTCCCATATTAGACGTGGATGGGAAAAATAACTTGTGTTATGTAATCCTCCCCTCTCTACCCAAAATGAAAAAAAGTGTCACCTTTAGATAGACTTTAAGCTGGGTGCTGCCATTTATAGAAGTCAAGTTGCTTGCTGAGAGGGGAGAAAAATACAACTGTAACAGACATGGAGGTTTGTAAAGAAGGGCTTAACAATTTTTTCTAAAGAGTCTTACTACAATGTATCTTTACATTTATTATGCTCTCTTAGGAGATTCTTTGACATACCACAATGGAATGTTGTTCTCCACCGTAGACCAAGACAATGACAGAGATGCCAGAGATTGCGTCCAACTCTATAAAGGTGCCTGGTGGTACAATCAGTGCCACCAATCCAACTTGAACGGACGTTACCTGCTTGGAAATCATGATACCTTTGCGGACGGTATGAACTGGAACTCTGGGAAAGGATATAACTACTCTTACAAACAGTCTGAGATGAAAAATCAGACCTGCCTAATGGGGTATACAACCTGAAAACTCCAAATAAGTGAAATCAATACACATACAAATATACATATGCTTACATTTATTCTGTGTTTTATTAAAGGGAAACCATAAGACTGGGATTACACCTACGCAGTGTGTTAACACAAGCATATTAATGTAAATTATGTTGGAAGTTAAGGTGTGGTGAGTTTAAGCAGCCCATTCATTTTAAATGGGATGCCAACACACTACAACACAAAGGAAGCAGGTGCTTATTACATCGCGGTCCAGTTCAAACCAATGCAGAATATGCACAGAAATACACAAAGTTTCTTCCTTTGTTCTTATGGTTTAGGTCAGTTTTTTAAATTTATGTTTAAACTACTTTATGTTTTTTTACTATATATACAGTATGTAATCTTTGTTACACAAATAAACATTTCAAGTATAATGGAGTACTTTGAGTTATTGGAACACTGATGGAGCAATGCATAGGAAGGAGGAGGAGTTATTGCTCTGTCACTGAGCTTCCATGTTTCTGTTGTAACCAATTTGAACAGCAACAGGGTCAGGAATTGTCAGGGGACTCTGTTGGAAAATTCGAGACATAACAAACCAGTCCACCAGACACCACCTGTAACTAAAACATCATATTAGATGGAATTTAATGCCCTGCCCTCTTCTCCAGTCTGAATGATCAATTATCCTAGCAGAGAAGGTGTCTATTACCACTATTCAACTCTAGTTGATATATCATGCGATCTCATATTTTTTTTATCTAGCTACTGTATGTATCTAATATTATTTTGGTTTAATTACCTCTGCTTTGTCTGGTTGATCTCTTGAGATTCGTCATATTCCTGATGCTGTTTGTACTTTTGAGCAAGCCTATTTCCAACTAACCTTTGCAGGGTTTATCAGTGACTATATGCAGGGCTGGTGCTAGACTATTTCGTGCCCTAGGCAAGAACAGCCATTTGCGCCTCACCTCCCAAAATAAATAAATAAATAATGTTAAAAAAGCAGTAGAAAATATTAAATCAACAAAACATGAAACGGCTAAATTTCTTTTAATTTGCAAAAATAAGTGCCATAAGATGCCACCAGCACCAATATTAAAGACAAAATCAGTGTAACGGACAGACTGTATCTGTGGCTGGCAGTGGCAGGGTGACAGTTGCAGTGAGTGGAGGATAATGAATCCCAGGCTGGAATTTCCCAGGCAATGGAGGGAGATAAAACGCTGTGACAGCAGGCAGCTGAACTGAGTGATCCCACACAGTAACAGGACTGACACAACATACTATCAGCAACACGTGCACAGATCATCAGGCACTAGAAGAGTAGGCTGTGGGATCGTGATGATGTCATCACTCAAGGACATATTGCACATGTGATGGATGTCCGGCCAGCCGGGTCACATTCACACAGACATGAGACATCAGAATCAGATATTACCTTCCTCAACAGGTGCAGCTCCACCTCCGCTGATGAATGGGAAGAGAAGGGCTTGAACTCCACAGTGATCAGCAGCTGCCAGCCAGCTTGCAGTAATGGACTGAGTCTGAGAGGAACACTGTGGAAGGAGTGGCAGCTCAGCTGCTACACTGGCCTCAGACACCTGGCATCTTCCTTTGTTCTTTCGTCCTCCTCTCTGCCGCCCCACCTCTCAGCTGAAGGATAATTTATGGTGTGGCGGAATCTCACACAGAGAGAGTGCTGGCCTGTGCTGCGCCCAGGTGTCCCTAGGTCAAAGTGTGCCCTGGGAGGCTACCTAGTTTGCCTAGTGGAAGCACCAGCCCTGCAGGAAATGAGAGTAGTTTTATATAGAACATATGGAAATCTGGTAATAAAACATTTAAAAAATTAGTGTATTCTTGTAATCTTATATTGAAATAGGAATCATTCCGCAGGGTTTATGTGAGAAAATTATTTCTGTTGAACATCTGAGGAATAATCTAAGCAAACAAAAAGCAGAGGCTATTAAACATTGCATACATACCTTGGAATTGATTGATGTGAAAGATGAAACATTTCAGCTAGAATTTGAACAGCCACTAAACAGCAGTGCTCAAAAAATTATAGGGGATCAAATACTTACCTGAATTTGAAAAATGCTATGACAATTTAAAGTCCAAAGAATTAGAAAAGAAACAAAATGAAGTTAAAAAGAAAAAATATCAACTTGATCTCTAGGATTTTGAAAGGTCTTTGATCAAACAGGCCAGGGGCAATAAGACAGGTAAACAGATGATGGTCAAGAAGGACAGGAGATAAAAAGAAATAGAAAAATGGCTACAACTAGACAAGAACAAATAGATGAGCAATGAAAAAATCCTTCCCCTTAAAACACATGCAAAAGAACACAGGAAATAATTTTCCCCATCAAAAAATGACTGACTGAGATGGAATTAACTTGTGAAGAAGGGTTCAATTTAAATGGATGTTTTTTAAAGATGAACAAATACCTGTGAAAGAAATATGTACCCAGAGGAAAACTGGACAAACTAGAAAACATCAAGCAAGAAACCTGGATGGGTTTGGATCTGTTGGAAGTGAAAATTAATACCTCCTCTAAACCATATTGGGTATTTACAAATGTTATTTGAGTGTGTAACAAAATAACTCCATGAGATTAATTGGCAAGCCATGGAAAAAGATAATATGACTTTGGAAAAAAGAGGGTCTTATCAAATAATTGTCTCCAGGATAAAATAAATTAATGAATGTAATAGTACAAGATTAAAAAACTACAGGGCAATGTTCCCAGTATTGGCTGCATGAAACTCTCCAGTATGTTAACCACGGAGGAGGGGATCCATATTCCAGCTGATCAAGTGACAGGACCAACCAATAGTGGTTTTGTTAAACACGTTGTGACCCGTATGAAAGGCGAGGTGATCGATGGATGCTATGTGTCACCTTGCATGCAATCATATCTGGGAGATTAAGGTGGAGTCCACTCTGGTTTCCTGGGCCACCATGGTAGAGGTGGTTCCGGACTGGATTTTGTGGTCCACTGATGACCCACCAGCAGGTGGTATAAATCAGACAGGACTGGAGCAAGAAGTTGCTCTTGGCCTGGGACTCAGAGAGCCATATCTGAGTGAGTGAGCTGTGAATGAAAGTTTGCATTGTACAAGAAAGGAAAGGTTGACATACTGGTTTCATTTTGTTGGTGACAGGGAGAAGCCCTTCACTGTTGAGAGAGGAATCTCCTGTGTTTAGTTAGTGCCTGGATGACGAGGGTTTATTTTCTGTTTTGTTTTGTCTATGATGCTTGCAACCTTTAAAATAAAAACTGACAAGTCAGATTTTAAGAAAGCCCTGCTGTCTGGGACTACCTTTTTTCCCAGGGAAGGTGATCCATCTGAGCTACCCCCATAACGTACATACATAAATGCTGCCTCATCAGATCTAACATAACCACCAAGCTGCCAACATTTATATATGGGAGAGTTTGACAAGACCAGTTTTTGGTCAGTCCTGTCCCTTGATCGACTGGAACATGGTGGTTAACATACTGGGAGTTGGATGCAGCCACTACTGGGAACACAGCCCTTTGTTGTCTAATCTTGTACTATTGTGTTTCACTGATCTATTGCTGTTCAGGAGGCAATTATTCCCCATCTCTTCCTGAAGAAGGGGGCTTTCTCCACAAAATGTGTTTGATATTAAATGTGATATCTTGATACACATCTTTTAGAGGAAAATATGGATTGAAAATATAATGTGTATACTTTATTGATGTATGATTCTGCAGTGAAACATTGTATTTTTTTGAACTTACATTTAAAAATTTTAACTAAGGAATTTTTTAATGTAAGAAATAAAAATAGTGGATTATTTAAAAAATTGGTTTCTGACATGGTATCTTTAAAATCCTGTAGCTTTTCCTTTGTATGGTTAGGGAGTTGTAATATGTCTAGTGTTTAGGATGTGTTACCCTAATTAAGATTATGGTTATAGAGTACCCTCCTTTTGGTTGTTTCTTTGATATATACAGTATATTTCAGTTGATATTTATGTATTTGAAGATAGCTCGGCTGAACTAGGCAAATGAAGATTATCTTATGTCCCATTTGTTTTTTTTTTGCTAGGAGAACATGACTGAATATCCATCTTGTTGCTTCCAAAGTCCAAGAACATAGAAGGCAACATACAAGTCTGGTTTTAATACCTTGCAGTGATGTTGGCCTTAAGCCTGAAACAACTGCATGCAAGTGCACTAAATAGCTCTATAATATGACTTTATATGTGCTATAAACCAGTACATGGCTCTGTACGCTATTCTTTAAGAAAAAGGTTTTATTATTATTGTTCAAACAGACAAAGCCATCACTTGGACACTTACATTCAACAATGAATAGGTGTGAGCTTAAAGAGCACACATAACCAGTGTACAAATAAAAAGTATCAGGCTAATGTATAGATCAGGCCTCACTAAATGGCAGGCCTTGGTCTGGCCACGGACTGAGTGACAGTCCTGTCCTCCCCCACTGCAGCAGTTAAAAATGACAGCATTTTAGAGAGCAGGAGGAATGGCAGGGTGGACTCCTCTTCTGTATGTATACTGTGAAGGGGGAAGATTATGAGGGGGGCTGTGATGTCAGAGGGGGGAGATGTGATATGGGGGGGCTGTGAAGTGAGAGGGGGGAGCTGTGAAATGGGGCTGTGGGAAGGGGGAGCTGTGATAAGGGGGCTGTGATATGGGGGAGCTGTGATGTGAGGGGGGCTGTGATTTGAGAAGGGGGAGCTGTTATATAGGGGGCTGTGAAGTGAGAGGGCGGAACTGTGAAATGGGGGCTGTGATATGGGGGAGCTGTGATGTGAAAGGGGGGGGTTGTGATATGAGAAGGTGGAGATGTGATATGGGGGAAATGTGATGTGAGAAGGGGGATCTGTGATATGGGGGAGCTGTGATGTGAGAGAGGGAGCTGTGAATGGGGGAGCTGTGATGTGAGAGGGGGAGCTGTGAATGGGGTAGCTGTGATGTGAGAGGGGGGAGCTGTGACATGAAGGGCTGTGATATGGAAAGGGACAGTTGT